CTAAAAAAAGTATAATATTCACATTAGAATAGGTGCCTGGTACATACCATGTAAGACATATCAATAATTTATTACACATTTGTAAGGAAATTGCAGGGTACTAAACCCTGAATTTCGGTGGAATAATGTATACACAAATTCACAAAGAAATACAATGACAATAAAAATGAAATAGTGATTACTTAACTTACTTACTGCTCAGCAACCGGATTCAATAATTTAATTTTGAAATACCATGAGCAAGACCTTTATACAATACAAATACCACTCCTGTGGTTGGTTTATCCAATCAGAAAACGAGACTGCTTTGCAGTGTGGCGCCACTGGTGGCGCCATTGGTTTTATAACATAATTTTATTTCCATTAAAAACAGTAATGATAGGATTCCGTGTATATATATCTATATAAATATCAGTAGACTTAAGTAACATTTTTAAACAACATGACTTAAGCCAAACCTATGACATATGTATAAAAGAATGGAAACAATGATAAAATATTTATCAATAAGTTGAAATGTATTCACAATGTCATGTCATGACAAGTCGTTTTTGTGCTTTAATTATGAAAATGACATTTTAGATGTTTTAAAGATTAAACAATCTTCCTATAAATAAAGTTTATTTGATAATTTACGTATAAATTTAATATTTATCTCACACGCTCGTCACCCTGAGACAAAAGTTGACAAATTCCAAGTGCCTGCAATTTCGTCAACACCTTTTTATCCATCAAAACCGGAACACAATAAATGGTAGTACTTCCCAAATGAACTCTTTCACAGGCAGGCATAAAATTGTAATTACAGTAAAAAATAGCCTCAAGGAGAAATTATTTTTCCCAGGAGAACTATATAATCAAACGACGTCATAAGTAGTCTAGACGTCTAGAACCGGATAGAGCTGCCATCAATAACCGCCGTATATTTCTTCCGAGCCATTACTAATGTATTGCTTTATTACAATGTCCGTAAATCTTAGCATATCATTTGTATTTGCGTAGAAAACAGCTTATTTTCTTACTTATTAACATATACAACACATTATTTATATGTTTATACATATTCTGTTGTTTATTGGGAAAATTGTACAAGGAATAAGTCTAAACATTATTAAAAAAAACCCAACTGCAAATATATTTAACTTCAAAGAAAAAAAAATTACCTCCCCAATCCCTATTTTGATTTTTTTATAGCCTGTGACACTCCCATAATCAAAACGAATCTAACGACACCTCATATGTCAAAATATATATCAAGCCATTTATGCTGTACAGGGAAACATAGAAATGGACGTACATATGTCAAGTAAAAACGACTCACTAACTGAACTTCGACACACGCCACTCCATTTTACTCAGACATTACTTAACTTCGACAATATATTACTTCGACATTACTTTACTCAGACACTACGCTACTCCAACAACATGTTACATCGACATGATTTTACTCAGACATTACGTTACTTCGACAATTTGTTACTTCGACATTACTTTACTCAGATACTACGCTACTCCGACAACATGTTACATCGACATGATTTTACTCAGACACTACGCTACTTCGACAACACAGACAGAGATATTTCTAAAAAAAATCTTTGTACTCAGATATGAAAAATCATCATTAGAAACCCATGTAGGAAATGGTTTCTTATTACATATCGATCAATATAACAAAAACAAAAATTATATAATCGAAAAACTCTTTTATTAGTTATATAAAGTGTAACAAAAAACTATTAAATTAAAATGTAAAATATTTTTACTACTTACACTATTTCATGTATGTAAGTAAATGAAAATTTTTCATTTTCATTTCATTTTTGTCTAAATCTAAAACAAGCCAATGTCGTCGGTGTTTTGTAGAAAGGGCGAAAGCGCCATTTTGGACAAATTTTCCGGTGACCATGTTTTAAGTTTTCAGGACTGTTTTAAAATATTTACGTCCTGTTTTAAAATCAGCTTTAAAACTTAAACTTAATTAAATCCAATTAATTCGAAAACAGGAGGTAATTATTTTAAAACGGTCGTTAAAACTTAAAACATTGTATCCGAAGTGGTCAGCCACCCGAGCTTCGGTGTAAGTGCGAGCGAGGTTGTCTATTACTCCGAGAGTTTATATTGGGTTTTAGTATTGGGGTGAAAACTTTACTTTTCACTTCGATTGCGATAAACAAAAAAATATTTATTTGAATAGTTTAGGCTCTACTACCATATCACGAACCAGAGTTCTGAACTTCTGATACAGATAGATACAAACAAACGCAACAAAACGCCACGATTAGCAGTCTTTGGTAATCATAAAATAACCTTGAGTCGAAATTTCAATAATAATAAAAAACTTAAGTTTAAATCGATTATTTTTTGTTACAAAACATTATGTACACAATTCCTTCTAAAAATTCTAATATACCCAAGTCTTCTTTCAATTGCATGTGTTGCTTTTTTGCGTTTTTTGTTTGTTGTGCTTAGGTTTTTCTATTAGTGCTGCAATGCGAGCTATTTCGTTTTCCGTGTTCCTCTGCTCTTTCGTTAATTCTTTTATTGTATTGAAAACATTCATTTTCTTTTTATTCGAAAGTATATTCCATCGCGAATGCCAACTTTCACAAGCGCTTTGAGTTGTTGGTAGGTTGCAAGCTATAGAGTCGAAAACTGACCATATTTTGGGTGGGAATTTGGGTGGCATGGCTTTAATGAATACTTTAGTAGGGTTGCTCGCTTTTCGAAGACATTGGCGTGTTCCGGTTACATACAATTTAGCAAATTTTTCACAGACAACATCAGCCGCTTTTGGGAGTGTAAGTACTTTAAGAAGCTCAAAAGCTCGTGGAATCTCTACTTGTGGCAAAAATGCTAACGCAGTGATATGTCGTAGTTTATGTGCAAATTCGCTATCTTGATTATATTTTGCTGACAACCCTTCGCGTTCAATGAATCGCCATACAATTTGTCGAAAATGAAAAAAACAGCACTTATGTTTGCTGGTAGAAAAGACGTATCGACAGGCATTAATAGCTGCTTGTTCGAAATCGGTTATTATTATTTTAGGTTCCAACGTTAAGTAAAGTTTCAATATTTCCAAAATAATGTAATTACAATGCTCACTTTTGCTTCATAGGAATCCGTACACTTACGGTAAAATCTGATGAGTAGAATTTTTACTTCCTACGATAGCTTGTATCGTATATAGCTGATGCACAGGTTTGGGACTGCATTTAAAAGTGCCATCCATTATCCAAAATTCTGCTTCGAAAAGCACTATCAAATTTTCGTCAGTCCCGAAAATAATAACTGTTTCTCCTTCAAAATTGTAATGTGCAATCAAAAATTGTTTGTTATCTACTGTTTGGTATTCCTCTTGAATCATCAAATCTTCGAGACCAGAGGGCAGTTTAACACCATGGTTCCTTGCTCGGTGAATCACGGCTCGCATGGCAGGTTTATTCGGAACGAATGGAGCGCTAGATGGATGGATGGATGTAATATCATAATTACATTGTTGAATTATTTGTGAAGGGCGATCCATACTACAAACAACCTTGTGTTTTATGTTATTGTACGCACCTGGATTTGTTCTGGTTGTGACAAGTGGTTATGATTCTTTATTAATTTAGTGGCCACATAATGCTGATCGTCACGTTTAACTGTTTTAAGCCACACGTTACACTTTCCACTGCACTTTTCAATGCAATGCCAATAATAAATGTCGTCTCGCACTTGGTTATTTCAATATATGAAACCGTCTGCAACTAACTGATCTTTTTAGTTAACTGAGATTTAATTATAAAATAGGAAGTCATGTTGATAAGTGCTTAACCAAAATACTACTGCATCTGTGACTGTCAATAAACGCAGTGATCTAGTTGGAAACGCAAATAGAATTCGTAAATATTCTAAATAAATGCAATTTTTTAAACCTACCATCAAATTTTAAAAGTGCTGCGTAGATTATCGGTAATAGTGTAATATATTAATATAAACTTTCAGTAATTCAATTAATTAAAAAGGATTCAATTAAGTTTAAGTTTTAAAGTTGATTTTAAAACAATCTAAATATTTTAAAACAGTAAAACATGCTCACCGGAAAATTTGTCCAAAATGGCGCTTTCGCCCTTTCTACAAAACATCGACGATATTGGCTTGTTTTAGACAAAAATGAAATGAAAATGAAAAATTTTCATTTACTTATATACATGTCATGTATGACATGAAATAGTGTAGTAAAAATTTATGTTTTAATTTAATAGTTTTTTGTTACACTTTATTTAACTAATGAGAGAATTTTTCTCTTTTGAATTTATATATATATATATATTGTTATATTGGTCGATATATCATAAGAAACCATTTCCTACACGGGTTTCTAATGATGATTTTTCTTATCTGAGTACAGAGGTTTTTTTAGAAATATCTCGTCTGTGTTGTCGAAGTAGCGTAGTGTCTGAGTAAAATCATGTCGATGTAACATGTTCTCGGAGTAGCGTAGTGTCTGAGTAAAGTAATGTCGAAGTAACATATTGTCGAAGTAACGTAATGTCTGAGTAAAATCATGTCGATGTAACATGTTGTCGGAGTAGCGTAGTGTCTGAGTAAAGTAATGTCGAAATAATATATTGTCGAAATAACGTAATGTCTGAGTAAAATCATGTCGATGTAACATGTG